GGACAGGGCAGGGATCGGGAAGGGACAGGGCAGGGACAGGGCAGGGATAGGGCAGGGATCGGGCAGGGACAGGGACAGGGCAGGGACAGGGCAGGGACAGGGCAGGGATTGGGCAGGGACAGGGACAGGGCAGGGATCGGGCAGGGACAGGGACAGGGCAGGGATAGGGCAGGGATCGGGGCACAGATAGGGATGTGGAATACGGATACGGATCCAAATATGGGCAGGGCCGTGGGCAGGGCCGCTGCCAGGCTCCTCCAACTCCGCTGTCTCAGCCTGAGGAGCCGGAAAACGACCCAGCTGGCAGCCCGGAGGGGGCCACCCCACATTTGGCACCACTAGGAACCCCCATCGGCACCTCTGGGTCCTCTCTGCCACCGCTGGGAGCCATCTGGTGGCACCCAGCCCGGGCTGGGGGCCAGAGGCTCCCTCTGCTGTCAGCTGCCCAAGACCGTGATGCTTTAATCTGTTTTCTACAAAAATGGGGCTGAGAGATAACGAAGGAGCAGCTTTGGCAGCGAGGGTGCTGCTGGGACGTGGCACAGGGGGCTTGGGGTGCATTGTCTCCCATGGGTGCAGCAGCCCCAGGTCTGCCTGCGGTGGCACATTTGGGATCTGCCCACTGCCCATGGATGCTACAGGACGAGGGAGCTGGGATGCAGCCACAGCGGGGACACCCAGGCGATGGTCCCTGTCCCCAAACCCCAGTGGCGTGTCACAGCTGACCTCCTGCCCAGGTGCCATCAGGACTCTGCCTGTGTCTCCTCACAGCCGGTCCGTGGTGGAAGATGACGGTCCCCGTGCCCAACAGCACGGCGGAGTCGTGGGCACTGCCAGAGCCAGAGCTGGAGCGCTCACCCTGCCTGGTTGGCATCATCCCCATCGTGTACTACAGCGTCCTGCTGGGGCTGGGGCTGCCAGGTGAGGGGCTGAGGGGGCAGTGGGGCTGGAAAGAAAAGTCCTCAAGATGGAGGGAGTTTACCTGCTCCCCCCAGCCTCAGACCTGGCCCCAGTGCCCGGCTGTGCTGCCCGGCCCAGGGCAGGTGCCACCGCTACAGGGACAGATGGTATTTGTGTTGTTGGGCTGGCACATGGAAGAGATTAATCGGCCCAACAAATCCCCACGGCACCGGGGTATTTATAGCTCCCCTCAGCTGGAGCCTGGGCAGCCCCGGGGTCCGGGTGCTGCGGGGGGAGGGGGGCTGTGAGCCCCCAGCTCTCAGCTCCGCACATCGCTCCCCTCCCTCCAGTGAACATCCTGACTGCCGTGGCCCTGTCCCGCCTGGCCACCAGGACCAAGAAGTCATCGTACTGGTACCTGCTGGCCCTGACCACCTCCGACATCCTCACCCAAGTCTTCATCATCTTCGTGGGCTTCATCCTGCAGACAGCCATCCTGGCACGGGCAGTGCCCAGCGCCTTCATCCACACCGTCACCGTGCTGGAGTTCACGGCCAACCACGCGTCCACCTGGGTCACCGTGCTGCTGACCGTGGACCGCTACGTGGCCCTGTGCCACCCGCTGCGCTACCGCGCCGTGTCCTACCCGCGGCGCACCCGCAGGATCATCGCGGCCGTCTTCGCCGCGGCGCTGGCCACCGGCATCCCCTTCTACTGGTGGCTGGACATGTGGCGTGACGCCGACCCCCCCACGGCGCTGGACACGGCGCTCAAGTGGCTGCACTGCGTCACCATCTACTTCCTGCCCTGCAGCATCTTCCTGGCCACCAACTCCATCATCATCCGCAAGCTGAAGCGGCGGAGGCGCGCGGGGGGCGGCAGGACCACGGCCCTCCTGCTGGCCGTCACCACCGTCTTCGTCGTGCTCTGGGCTCCCCGGACCATCGTCACCATGTGCCACCTCTACGTGGCCTCGGTCAGGAGGGACTGGCGCGTGCACCTGGCCTTGGACATCGCCAACATGGTGGCCATGCTCAACACCTCCCTCAATTTTTTCCTCTACTGCTTCGTCAGCCAGACCTTCCGCCGCACGGTGGGCGAGGTGCTGCGGGGCCATCCCCGGCCGGTCCCCCGCCGTGGCAGAGGTCACTTCCCACCCCCGGCCCTGAAAGCGCTGAAGCTGCTGGGCAGCACCGCGCTCTGAGCCAGGGCAGCGCCCGGCTGGCAGCCCTGCTGCCCACCCAGCCCCACGCATTGCACGGGGACCAGGGAGACCCCCACCCTCCACGGAGCTGGGGTCACTGCTGGTGGGGCTGGCAGGAGGAGGTGGCCGTGCCCAGACACTCATTTGGGGGTAGCGTGGTGCCTGCCTGGCAGCAGCACTCCAGAGCGGGCAGCTCAGCCCTGCCCATGCTCAGCCCCTGGCACAACACGGGAACTCATCCAGGGAACTCATCCAGGGAACTCATCCAGGACACGCCCCAGCTGAGTGGCACCGAGGGCCCTGGTGCACCCAGGGGCTGCCCGTAGCGAGGGGTGGAGGGCACGAGTGAGCTCCTGCGAGCCCTGACAAGGACGTGGTGCCCGCTGGGTGCCACTCCATAAACTGCCATGCTGAGACCAAAACTCTGCCTGGGTCCGGCTCCATGCGGGCAGTGCAGCGGAGGCACCCTGCACCAGCCTCTCTGGCACAGGGTCCCTCTGCCCTGCCCACCCCCGTGCCCGTGCCCCGATGCCCGGGAGCGCTGGAGGGAGCTCCCACAGGGTCTGCAGTCCGTGTGCTGGGGTCTGCACGCAGGGTAAGATCACAGCTCCTGGCCGCCACCCATTAATCCCCCTGGCAGCAGCCAGGCTGCAGTCCCCGGGCAATGCCCCCCTGCATCGAGTGCACCCAGTGCTGCCCTCCCAGTTACACCAGTGCCAAACTGGTGTGACGCTGGAGGAGTGGCCGCGCCGTCTCAGCCTGTCCCCAGCCGCCGGCAGAGGGCAGGGATGGCACACTGCGGAGCTGGCACTGACGGGGCAGGGAGCTGGCACCCCCAGCTCCCCAAACCAGCCCTGCCGCCACCCTAATTCCTCCTAAGGTCCTTAGCGTAATCCCCAAAAACCGTCCAGCCTTTCCGCTCGGATTCCCGGGACGGGGCAGGACAGACCCAGGGGGTGCCCGGGGGGGATCAGGACCTCAGCTGGCTCTTGGCAGGGCACAGAGACACCCCAAACTCCAGCAGACCCCCTGCCCACCCCCGATCCTGGCTGTGCCCGCACTGGGGTGGGATGGGGCGCAGCCTTTGCCCCCAGGGTGTGGGGCTGATTCCCCCACGCAGCCACCCTGCCCCCGGGTCATTCTCCGGCGCGGACAGACCCCTCCGGGGATGTCACCTCATCCCAGGCCGGATCCCGCCGGGGGACAGGGTTAAAGCCGGAGCCGGTGGCGCGGGGGGTACCTGGGAGGTTCTCGCTCCATTAATCCCGGCACGTGAGGAGAGCAGAACCGGGAAGGGATTAGTTATTAACCCGGCCGCGGGCAGGGGCTGAGGGGCCGCGGGGCGGGGGGCTCGGCTGCCTCGGGAACCCTCGGCGGGAGCTCCGGGATTGCCACCGGTGCCCCCGATCGCCAGCGGCCCCCCTGTGCCAGCCGGTGCGTATTTACTTGGCAAAGGAGGTGGAAATGTGCTGACGGCGTCCGCCGGAGCGAGGGGCTCCGCTGGGAACGGCTCCGAGCCCCGGCCGGAGCGGCGGGAGGCTCCGGGAGGGCAGCAGGGACCCCCGGCTCCCGGTACGGCTCTCGCCTTCCCGAGGGAGCCGCCGCGGAGACGGGGCTCAGCCAGCCGTGCCACCGTGCCAGCCGTGCCAGCCGCCCGTCCCTGCGGCTCCCCAGGAAAGGTAAGCCTGGAAAAAATGCGTGCTGGTGTTTTCGGCTAGAGCCTGGCCAGGGTCCAGGTGCCGGTGCTGAGCGACACCGCAGCCCCCCAGTGTGGCCTCTGTGCTGGGAGGACCAGTCCTGCCCAGTTCCACCGCTGGGATCGCGGCCCCAAGCCCACCCAGAGCACCGGCAGCTGGGATCGGGCTCTGCCCGTGCCGGGAGCTCAGGGATCCACCGGCCCGGGGGGAAACCGAGGGCAGCACACGGTGGGCATCACCCCCCAGTGACCCCGCAGCCTGCTGGGGTCTTGCTGTAGGAGCTGCAAGAGCGCCGGGAGCAGGAGATGGGGCTGGAGAGGCGGGCAGGGTCCCGATGGAATCCACAGGGGGTGGAACACGAGGGTCTCCGTGGGGAGGGGGCCGAAATCACCCGCCGTGGGGGGATGGGGGGGTTCCCATGGGAAGGGGATGAGGAAATCTCCCGCCAAGGAGGGGGACACAAGAGCAAAGGCTGCGCGGCCGCGGGGCAGCCTCGGCGGGACGGGCGCCTGCCGGTGGCCCCACGGGGGTCACGGGGGTCTCGTGCTGAGTCAGCAGCCGGGAAAGCCTCCGGCGGAAGGAAGCGGCCGGTGGAGAGGCCGGGCTGCGGTGTGGGGGCGGCAGGACAAGCGGCCTCCGCTCCCGGCACCGCTTATCCAGGGCTGAGCCTTTCCCGGAGAGCGAGGGCTGTCCAATCCTGGAGCCGGATCGCTGGGGAAACTGAGGCACGAGGGCCGCTGCAGAGCCCTTCGCCTGCCCCGCGCTGCCCCGTGCGAGGACAGGGATGATCCAGTCCCAAACACCATCCCGGAGCCGAACGATCCTTAGGAAGAGGGCGGGAGGTGGCGGTGCCGCAGCGCTGAGCCCGGACACACCGTCCTGTCCCCGGGGGCTCTGGCGGGCGCCGGTCCTTGTGCCACGGGTGCCGCCGGTTCCGGTGGGAGCCGGTCCTGCCGCTGGAGGCTCTGCCGCCCTTTCTCCCCGGATTGTTTTCATCCCGGCCTGGATCGGGGCAGCCCCCGCCGGAGGCACACTGAACTTTCCTCTGCATCCTTCACCCTCTTGCTTCACCCTCCCGAAATAGCAGCGCCCGCCTGGAAACCTCTCCCAGGGCTGGCGGGGCCCCCGGGGTGCCCCAAATCTCCCAGGGCTTTTCCCCTTCCCCAGGGATGAATGGGGTGATTGTGGGGTGCCCATCTCAACTCCAGGGTCGCGGTCACCCCCATCAGGACAGGGACCACCAAATCCTGCCAGTGCCCCGGGCTGGGGCTGCCCTGGTCCATAGCCCTCTGCAGAAACGGCTTTTCTGGGGTTTTCTGGGGTTTTTTGGGTCCCGCTGCCCTGCCAAGGGCTCCGGCTTTATCCATCAGCTGACATTCCTCCGGGAGGCCGCTCCAGGCCGGACGATCCTTACACGGTGGGGCCGCCTGTGGAGCGCCGCTCCCGGCTCCCATCCCCGAGCCCGCCGGAGCTGGGAGATGCCGTGTGGGTGACACCGACCGTGTGGGTGACACCGACCGTGTGGGTGACACAGACCCCGCTGCTTCTTCCCTTGTCCTCTAAGGGTCTTTCCTGACGTGCAGTGCTCAGCAGGGCCAGGCTGAGACCCCCAGACTCATCACACCGATGGCCAGGTGGGCTCGCCCCTGCTTCGCCCCCAGCCCCCCTCGGCCCTGCCCATGCCCCGGGGCAGCTCCCGCTCCGTCCCCTGTCCCCCGAGAGTCGTTCCCGGGGGGCAGCGCTCGGCAGAGCCAGGCTGAGCCCCCCAGGCCATCACACCGATGGCGAGGCCCCACTGACTCATCGCACCGATGACCGGGTGGGCTCCCCCCCGTTCCGCCCCCCAGTGCGGGCTCTTCCCCCCCTCAGCCCCCTCCGTGCCCCGGTGCGGTACCCCCGCCGGTGCGGGACCCCGGTGTCCCCGCCCGGTGCGGCGGGGCAGGTCCCGGCCGGCCCCAATCGCGCTCCCGGGGCTGAGCCGCACCTCGGGGAGGGGCCGGGCCGGGCAGGCGCACGGTGCGGCGGCACCGGGGCTGGCTCGGCTGGGCACGGGGGGAGCGGAGCGCCGGGCACCGGGGGCTGCGGCCGGTGAGCGGGGCGGAGTGGGGGGGCGAGCCCTGCGGGACCGGGGGGCACCGGCAACGCCGACGGGAAGGGACCGGGACCGGGACCGAGAGCCGTCCGCCCCCGCGGCTCCTCCGGCCGGAGATTTGGGGGCGGCTCCGGCGGAGTTTCGGGGCCAGGAGCTGGCGGGAGCGCCGGGAAGCACCGGGACGGTGCGGGACGGGGGTGCGGGAGGAGCGGGCGGCGGGCACCGGCGGAGGGGCAGGGGACGCGGGACGGGAGTGCTGCGGCCGCACCGGGCCGGGGGAGCGGCGGAAGCCAACGGGCGATGCGAGGGACCGGGCGGGGTTGCAGGAGGAGCAGACATGGGGACGCGGGTGCAGCCGCCCGCGGCGCGGGGGAAACCGGGCGGAGGGTGCGGAGGAACCGGGCTGGAGGTGGGGGGGAAACCGGGCTGGGGGACGCGGTGGGAACCGGAGGCGGCGGAATTCCTGGAACCTGCGGGCACAGGGACTTCGTCCCAGCGTGGTGCTGGGGGTCCCTGTCCCCGTCCCGGGTCTAGGGGGGCCCGGTTCGGGGTGCCCCTCGGGGAACCGGGGGTCCCGGCCCCGGCATGTCCTTGTTGGGGTCTCCTCCCGGTTTCCTCCCCCAGCAGTGAGGCTGCGGTGTCCTCGCTGCCTTCTCTTCCCCGTGCCCACCATGAGGTGGCAGGAATGGGGTGGCAACGGTGGGGACAGGGACTTGGGACTCCTTGCCGTGCTGTGCCATGCTGTGCTGTGCCGTGCCAGGCTGCGGCTGCCTATGTGCCAGCAGGCTGGACATGCTACCTGCACTGGGCCAGTGCCCAAAGCCAGAGGGAAGTGGGACAGGAGAAGTGGAAAGAGGAACGTGGTGGCACTCAGGGACAAGGCAAGGGGACAGCCCTGTCCCCCAGTATCCCCTCTGCCATCTGGTGTGGGCACACATTCAGTGTTGCCCAGAAACCGTCAGGCACAGTGCTGCTCCTGACACTGCAGGAAGGATCAGGAGAATTCCCAGAGAATTCTCATGCTGGGAGGGATCGTATGGGGCACGGAGGGGCTGAGCCCCTCCTCAGCTGCCACCAACCTCCAGGCAAGGAGCCAGTGGGGGACACGTGGCTGCCTGGTCCCATCTGGAGCTCCAAGGGGCGAGCTCTGTGTTGGGTGAGCTCAGCTGTGCCAGCAGGGCAGGGCTCCCCTGCTGCTCACCGTGGCACATCCAGTGGGGACCACAGGTCGGGATGCTCTGAGCCAGGAGCTGATCTCCAGCCCCTGTGCCCTGACCCCGCTGTGTCCCGCAGGGTCCCTGGATGCCAGGGTGCAGGATGGGCACCAGGGCCATGCTGCTGGCCCTGCTCCCCACGGCCGCCGCGCAGCCCACGCCGCCCCCGGGCTGCGGCCACGACCTCTCCTCCCTCTACTACAACCTCTGCGACCTCTCAGCCGGCTGGGGCATCGGGGTGGAAGCAGTGGCCAGCCTCGGCGTGGTGACCACCTTCGTGCTCACCATCGTCCTGGTGGCCAGCCTGCCCTTCGTGCAGGACCACCAGAAGAAGAGCCTGGTGGCCACGCAGGTCTTCTTCCTCCTGGGCACCTTCGGGCTCTTCTGCCTGACCTTCGACTTCATCGTGGGGCCGGATTTCTCCACCTGCACCTCCCGCCGCTTCCTCTTCGGCGTCCTCTTTGGCATCTGCTTCTCCTGCCTGCTGGCCCACGCTGTGGCCCTCAACTTCCTGGCGCGGCGCAACCGGGCCCCGCGGGGCTGGGTGACGCTGGCGGTGGCCCTGTCCCTCGCCTCGGTGGAGGTCATCATCAACGCCGAGTGGCTCATCATCACGGTGGCCCGGCGCGAGGGCGGCCCCGCGGACCCCTGCCAGCTGGCGGACGCTGACTTCGTCATGGCGCTCATCTACGTCATGGCCCTGCTGGCGGCCGCCTTGGGCGCGGCCTGCCCGACCCTCTGCGGCCGCTACGGCCGCTGGCGCAAGCACGGCGCCTTCATCCTGGCCACCACCGGCCTCTCCGTGGCCATCTGGCTGGCGTGGACCATCATGTACCTGTACGGGAACCAGCGTGCCGGCCACAAGCCCGGCTGGGATGACCCCACGCTGGCCGTCGCGCTGGTCTGTAACGCCGCCGCCTTCCTCCTGCTCTACGCCATCCCCGAGGTGACGCACGTGACGCGGCGCAGCCCCGAGCAGGCCTTTGAGGACGACGGCTACCCCACACGTGGGGTGGGCTACGAGACCATCCTCAAGGAGCAGAAGTCGCAGAGCATGTTCGTGGAGAACAAGGCCTTCTCCATGGACGAGCCGTCCTTTGGTGGGTTTGCCAGGGACCTTCTCACCCCATGGTGGGGCTTCTGGCGGGCACCATCCTCTTGGGGACCCTGGGGGATGTCCCCAGCGGGGATGGCAGCGGTGGGTGGGTGACGAGACGTCTGGCAGTGACCTGCCCGGCACTGGCGCCTGCTGCTCCTGTGGCTCCCGAGAACTGGCCGGGCTGGGTGTACCAGTTTGGGCTGAGCCCAGCAGCCACAGGGAGCTCCCTCCCCGGCGTGGGGTGCCTGCGGCTCCTGCCCCTCCGCCCCAGGCCCAGAGACCCTGCAATAACACGGGGTGGTGACAGTCCCAGTGGGTATCGTGGGTGGGCATGGCAGGTGTCTGCTCCCCATGGGGGGAGGGAGGGTCCCCTGAGCAGCACCTGCACCCGAGAGACCCTACAATAACAAGCCATGGGGCCAGGCAGCAGCGATGCCATCCCTGGGGACAGCAGTGTCCCGCGGGAAAGGCACGCAGCTGCTGAGTCAGCTCGTTAAACCTGCTAACGAGGTACGGGGAGCCCCAGTGGGGTGGCAGTGGCTCCATGGTGACTGTCCCCGTGTCTCAACAGCCAAGAAGCCGGTGTCCCCATACAGTGGCTACAACGGGCAGCTGCTGACCAGTGTCTACCAGCCCACCGAGATGGCTCTGATGCACAAGGGGACGGTGAGTGTGACACCAGGGGCGGCCACACCCTGCCAGGAGCGATGGGTACGGGGGACAGGCTGTGGGTGGGGTGTTCTGGGACCCCTGTGTCCCAATGGCTGCTCAAACACGGTGGGGACCTTCCCAGCCTTCCATCCCCGGGACCCCGTGGGGCTGGGGTGTTCCCGGTGCCGTGACCTTCCAGCCCCATGTCTGTCCCTCAGAGCGAAGGTCCCTACGACGTGATCCTGCCCCGCGCCTCCACCAGCCCCGTGCCCGGCAGCGCCAGCTCCACGCTGCGAGCCGAGGACGCCTTCGCGGCGCAGGCCCGGCACTGCAGCATCCCGAGGGACACCCGGAGCTGCCAGGTGGGTGAGCGGTGCCTGCAGCAGGGGCAAAGTTCGTCTCTGCCATGGTGACGGCTCTGCCCAGCACCCAGAGCCCCCCCCGGTAGGTCAGGGTGCACGTCCGTGGTCCTGGTGCCACCGCGGTGCCACCTCGCCGTGCCCACAGGTGCAGTCCCCGTACAGCAGGAACCGGTGGTGAAGCCCCGGTGACGCAGCTCCCGCAGCGCCGGCACAGCCGCGGCCCCTCCGTCCTGTCCTGCTGCCCCAGGGCTCGCCAAGCCTCATCCCACCCTGACTGACGTGCGAGTCCCACCCCGGCTGGCAGCCAGAGCTGCTTCCTGCCCGTGGGACGCCTGGACACGGTCCCAGAGCCAGCGCTCCCACCTGCCCGGCCCACCTGGCCATGGAGCCCCCCATCCCTGCCTCAAGGACTGGTTCCCGTGAGGACACCCCCGGTTGTCGCCTCACTGCCTTCGTGATGCACAGACCCCCCGCCTTCCCCAGGCCATGGACCCTCCAAAGCTGGGCAGCCCTGGGACCCCACCCAGGGCACCCTCAGCGCCGAGCCCCTGGCCCCACACTGACCCCCACCAGCCCTGGGGACGCCGAGCTGGCCCCATCCCACCGCAGAGCACAGGGGGACGCCAAGCTGTCCCCAGCTCTGCCTCCTTCTGTGCCTCTGTTTCCCCGTTGCTGGGGCTCAGGGGATCAGTGCCTTGCTGGGGCTGGGGACGGGCCCCCACAGCTCTGGCCGCCTTCTCGGTGCCTTCCCCCCTTGGAGCTCGGGGACCCCTGCAGGGAGTGGGGAGGGAGCTGGGCCCCTCGCCCTCCTTGTGTCAGGTTTCATTTTTTTCAGGACACCCCAATAAAGGTGGTTTTTCCTATGATGCTGTCACAGGTGGCCTGTGGTGGGGGTCCCAGGTGTTCCCAATCCCACCGGCTGCTCCCACGGGCTCAGCCCCGTGTCCCCATTTAGGGGAGGGACAGGGAGCACGGGGGGGCTTCGGGAAGGTTCCACGGCACCCCCATCCCCCAGCCGGGGCTGCTGGGCAGGGATCCTGTGGGCAGATGGGCTGCCGGGCAGGAGGTGGCACAGCACGGAGGACATGCCAAGGTCGTGGTGGTTTTCCTGCTCGGATTGCCTTCCCCTCCAGAGCCATTCCTCCTCCTCCGGGCAGGAAGCCTGCGGCCAGCAGTGCCATGAATTATTCAGGGCTGGAATGGCTCCGTGGGGGCAGCGGGTGACCGACTCTCCTTGAGCCGGAGCCGGGATGGCGGCGCTGGGGCTGCCGGTGGGCACGCGTGCCCTGCCCGGTGCCCGCACAAGGGACACGCGGTGGGAGGGTGGCACTCGGCACGTCCCGCCTGTGCTTTAGCTGGCACAAGCCCACGCTCCCGGCTCCGGGGACACGGCTGTGGGTGTCACAGCAGGATGTGGCTGTGCCCCCAGCCGTGTTTACCTGTCACCTGTGTTTACCTGGTGCCGAGCGGCAGCGGAGACATTGCCCAGCAGCACCAGGCACTCGGTGTCACCAGGGCCACTGTCACCACAGCACGCCCTCCCTCTCACCGCACCGCATGGCACAGTGCGTGACCCCCCCTAGGGCACCTCCACCTTCCCGGGGACACAGAGGCGACACTGCGGGGACGGCAGAGCCACCCGAAAAACAAGGTGCCAAGCCCGCCGCGGGCAGGGGTGGCAGGGGGCAGTGCCCAGCCCCTCCGGAAGCGCGGGATCCCACCGGCCCCGCCAGCGCCGGCCGCGGCGCGGGGCGGCCCCGCTCCAACAGGGAACGCTTTGTGCCGGCGGGGCCGCGAACAGCAGAGCCTTTGTCCGGCCAGGTGAGGCGGCTGCGCCGCGCCGGGAGCAGCCCCGGGGCCTCCCCGGAGCCGGGGGCTGCCCGGGGGTGGTCGCAGGGCGGTGGCAGGTGGCACCGGGGTGGTGCGGGCGCAGCGGCGGGGACGTGGCAGCACACCCGGCACCGGGGTCACCGTGACCAGGGCTGGGCAGGGGTGCCAAGGGCAGGGCTGTGTGTGGCTGCAGCCCCGGGGCTCAAGCAGGGTCACCAATAGGGACAATGAAGGCAGTGACACCATGTGGCATGCTCCATGTCCCCAGCACTGCCTCACTTTCCTCCCACCCGGTGCTGAGCTGGCCAGGCATTGGGGTCTTCTCACAGCTGAGGAACGAGGAATTTGCCCCCAGCAGAGCCTGTGGTGACAGTGACATGCCTGGGATGCCATCTGCCAGCACAGCAGCGTCCCTCAGGAATCCCTCAGGAGCTGGGAGCACAGACACACTCACACCACCGGCTCCCACGGGCGTTTTTACTCCAAGCAGTTCCGTGGCACCGCAGGGACCCCACTCCAGTGCTGAGCTGTGGGAAGCCCTGGGGCTCAGCAGTGACACAAGAGCACCAGGTCAATGTCCCCAAGAGTCCTCAGCCCGGGCCGGCCCGGGCGCGCTCCCGCTCCAGCTGTTTGCGCCGCTGGATGTCCCGGTAGGCCCGGATGACGCGCGCCCGCTCCTCCTCCAGGATGCGCCGGCGAGCCATCGACATCACGGGGGACACGGGGGACACGGGGGACGCCTGGCTCTGGCCCAGGCGGGGTGTCAGGAGGAGCTGCTTCCGTCCAGCCTGCAGGCAGAGACGGGGGAGCTCAGGGGCGAAGGGTGAGACACCGGGACTGCGCTCCAAGGAGCTGTCACCGGCTCACTGAGGCCACCGCTGCCCTGCCAGGTACCCGAGGGGTGGGTGGTGTTGTCCCCAGAGCTCACCTGCTCGGCAGGACCCTGTCCCCTGGGCCGTGAGGTGATGGTGGGTGGCTGTGTCACCACTTCTCCGAAAGGCACCGTGTCTGCAAGGGAGCCGGGATCAGCGGGAGACCCCCGGGATGCCCAGTGCAGGTCCCCCCACCCCTCCATGTGCTGCCCCCAGGGCTGGGGTCACTTCAGCCCCGCTCCATCCTCACCTTGCAACAGGCTCTTCTCCAGCATGTCCTCCTTCTTCTCCTCCTTTTTCTTCCGAGCCCTTTCCAGCTTCCTTTTCTGAAACCTGAAGAGCCACGTTACAGTTGGGGCTCAGGGGTGGACAAGGAGCAAGCAATGAGTCCCCACCTCAAGGGAGCCCCCCAAATCTCACAGCTTTTCCCCCAGGAAGGTGAAGCAGGCTTGTGGCTCTGTTCCCAGGGATTCATTCCCTTTCCAGGGGCCCCACTGCCCCCCCGCCTGCACCCCAGACGTGCCCTGCAGAACTGGGCAAGGGGACAGGCCACAGGTATGGGGTGGCCCCAGGGCCTTGCTCTCACTCTTTTTTCCTTTTGGATTTCTCTGGAGTCGTCGCCTCCTTCTCAGGCTCCCTCTGGAGCTGGTTCTCCGCGAGGAAGAGGACGCGCTGCACCTCCTGCTCCATGCGGCAGATGTAGGAACGCTCCGACTCGCCCCGGCCCCTCCGGAACCTGGGCACGGGGATGTCCCCCGGGGCCTTGGGGCCCTTGGACTTCTGCTGCTGCTTCTTCTCTAGGAGAGACGGGTGACATTTCTGCAGCGGTGACACGGCGGTGGTCCCTCCGGCTGGCAGAGCGCGGGTGGGACGTCACCAGAGGATGTCCCACGGCAGGATCTGGCCATGCCACAGGCTCCTGGCCACCTGCTCGGGCCACCTGCGGGTCCCACCTGCCGCCTGCCTCCTGCCAGGCTCCGGGCGCTTCAGGGCCTCGCGGCTCCGCATGAGCTCCCGCAGGCGGAACGGGATCTCCTGCTCCTCGGGGTGCTTGGGCTTCATGTTGTCCTTCTTCTCCTTCCTGGGGAAAAAGCACAGTCAGAGGACTCCAGGGAAGGGCCACAACCTGGAGACCGGGACAGCGGGACCCAGGCACCGGGACAGCGGGATCCAGGTACGGAAGGATGCTGGGATTTGAGCACGGTGGGAAACTGAGACTTGGGCATGGCTGAACACCGGGACCGAGGCATCGGGGTCAGCACGGGCAGGCATCGGCACCGGGGCCCGGGCAGAGCCCGGGACGCAGACGCCGAGAGCGGGACCCCCGCCAGGGCCCCCGCGCGTGGGTGCGGGTCCCAACCGGGAGCGGCCCCGAGTGGATCCCGCGGGCACTGACCTGCTGCGCAGCGGGACGCCCGGGCCATGCTCCGATCTCGGCCCCGCTTTCTGTCCCGGCCCCGCTTTCCGTCCCTGTCCTGGTCCCGGTGTCGCTTTCTGTCCCGGTCCCCGGGCCGGTTTCTGTCCCGGTCCCGGTCTCTGTCCCTGCTTCGGTCCCGGTCTCTGTCCCTGTTTCGGTCCCGGTCTCTGTCCCTGTTTCGGTCCCGGTCTCTGTCCTTGTCCCGGTCTTTGCCCCTGTTTCGGTCCCGGTCCCGGTCTCTGTCTCTGTCCCGGTCCCGGTTTTCGCCGCGGGCCCCGGGCCGGTCCCCGGGCCATGGCTCCGCCACCCCTCATGTGCCCGTTCCGCCGCCACTTCCGGCTCCCGGCCCCGCCCCCTGCTGCTTATTGGCCCCGCCTTCCCCGCCACTCCCGCGCAGCTGAGCGCGCCGGGCTGCCATTGGCTGTGAGAGCTGTCAGTCGAGGCGGGGGCGGGGCCAGGGCGCTGCGGCCGGATGCTGCTGCGGGGGCTGGCGGGGCCGCGCCGGGGGGTGAGCGGGACCGGGGACACGGGG